TACATATCTTATTATGACACATATTAGTAAATTAAAGAAACTCATATACAATTCTTTGAAATACTATGTTGTCCCACTATTATCATGATTTTCAGGCTAAATTCTAAGAGAAAATTCTCTACGTGCACACACACACACACACAAACTGCGCGCCGAATTATTTTTCCGGACTAAATAAACGCAATTAAAACTATTCTAGTAATCGCGAATTAAATTGACATTCGGCGCGTAGTTTGAAAAAGACTACAATATGGTATATATGCAAGTATATATATAATATATATTAGTAATTCAAGATTGAATTATTTAAAGCAACGAAGATTCAGCTTCGACCGTAATAGGCATTTTAAATTTCTAATAAAATTTCACTTAACAAGCTTTATCATTTTTCCCTACTGAAAAAAATTACGTCACAAAGTTATATAACGAAATCATGTAATTAAAATATGTAAATCACGTAACGGTTGTTCCAAATCAGTACGTGATTTTTTTTAAATCACGTAATTTGAGAAGTCACACGATATGTTTTTTTTCTTCTATTTTTATCATTTAATTGTTTAAAATTCGATAACTATAAAATCATATGAAACATTAAAATATTTCTAGTATTATGTGATTTTTTAAATTATGTTATTTTAAAAAATTACAAACTGATTTGGAATAATCTGTTATTTGATTTACTCGTTTTAATTACATGATACGGTTACGTAACTTTGTGCGTTGATTTTTTTCAGTAGGATTACTTTTTTCGTGCAAAAAATTTAAAATTTAAAGTTAATTTAAAGTTTTTTTTTCCTTAATACTCTTGCAAGTATTTTTGTTTGAAAATTTTCTTTTGTTCCTACAATACACATATTAATTTTAACTGTATTGGAGTGATCATTGGATTTTAATAACGTAATTTGCAACAATAGTTCTAAAGAACTCACTTATTTTTGTTTCATATATGTATAATTTGTATAAAGACTGCTTAATCTTTATCAACAATGTAAACTATCATTATTTATTATGAGAGCCCATGTTGAGGCCATGTTTTGACATTCTGATAATTGTATTGATATAGTATTCGTATGTTTTATTTAGTAACTTGTGGATTTTTAATATTGTAAAAATAATTCTCAATTTGATTTGTAATATACCGATTATAATACCAATTATAATACTGAAAATATATAATAGAGAATGGCTCAAAAGATTTCAAATAGAAGAAATTAAAATAAGAACAGCTACGAGCCAAACAAACAAATTTTAATATATAAATATAATAGCCTTGACATTAAACATAAAAAAAAAATAACATGACAATATATGTGTACCTAAAACTAACATTTCAACCACCTTCGGGTCATTTTCAAAGTTCGAAATCAAAATGTAAATAGCGGGTGACAAAAATAAATTAACATGAGTAAGAAATCATATAAATACGAAGCCGAAAAATCATTAAAAGTAGACTTTCGCTATTTAGGCCGTGATATCAATTGTGTATAGTCGACATAAGGTAGATCCCGGATTCATGCCAAAAAATCAAATTTCGCTGAGTATCCAACGACAAATATATGCAATCGTTAAAGCCCAGATGTACCTCATGGTTAAATAATAATGGATGTTGACCAAATATAAAAAAAAAACGTTGATAACACCGATAAACAAGTAACGTTCGTACGTCCTTCTTACGAAAGAAAAATTCTACAATATAAAATAAAAATTATAATAATAAAAGTATATAGCATTTTGTTGCTAACAAAGTATGTGAAGTATGTAATCCATGTAAATTATGGGGTGATCCCGATTGACCACGTCTCGATTGGACACCACCAATCACAGCGACCGGTGCTTAGGAGCTTTGTAGTCTCAAGCGCTGTGAATGGCTCGTGTCCAATTGAGCCGTGTCCAACTGGGTGCCACCCTAAATTATCATATTCAAAAATAGAAAAATATTACAAAAACGGTGTAACAGTACAGATCAATGCGCGGCACAATGTGTAACAAATTAAAAATCTCTAAATGAGTCGGAACCTAAAAAAAAAAGTAATGCAAAAGTCATATACGGCGAGAAAAAATAATGCAAAAGAAATATATCTTAAAATTACAGTACGCAGTCAAATATATCAAAATTGTAGTGTCAAAAATTAAAATTTCCTAAGTGTGTCAGAATATAAAATAAATAAAATAAAAGAAGTATACCTTAAAAAAGCAATACGCAGTCAAATATAATAAAATTGTAGTGTCCAAAATCGTTAAGTCCATACTTGAAACAATATTATATACTCGTATATAAAAATGAAGCAAACTTGCGATGAGAACTATTCTGTATAATCGACCAGAAAGCAATGACAAAAGACGAACCAGTAGAAAACAAGAAAATCGTGTAGAAGGAGTAGAACAGGAAGGGGAAACTAGGAATGAGAAAGAGATTGTATGATAGGAAGGTATGACTCCGGTAAAGCTTCCGTATCATTATGCCTGTTTAAGCCTTGTCTCTGTCTCTTAATGTGAACCATTTCAGAGATTAAACGTTTATTGTAAGATGGCTCACTATCTAATATTTTAACGTTATTCCAATCGAAATTATAGTTACAAGTAGTCTCATGGTCCGATATAATCAAAGGAGATCCCGATTTCTTTCTTATGTCCGATATGTGCTATTGTAATCTTGTTTTAAGTCTCCTCTTGGTCTGGCCGACATAACTAGTCTCACAAGAAATCTTATAATCCTCACAAGAAATCTTATAAACCACACCTTGGTAGGATAGAGAATCTAATAAACGATCTTTCCCTCTCTTAATATAAAAAAATTTAAACAATGGAATGACCAGTGTAACACACCTAAAAGCAATTGTCTTTAGG